TATATACTGAGAGAAATACTTCTCTCGGGTGCATAGGTCCTGTTTACAGGCGCAATGCTTAACTACTTATGATAAATATGGTGTATTGATTAGATTTGTTAAATTATTGATAACATTAGCTGATAAACATAAAAATCCTGTGAAATGATTAATAACAGCCAGAAGTTCAGAAAATACATTAAAGAAATATAAATTTTTACTATCAAGGAAATGAAACCGTTTTTGCTGCAGTGTAAATACATAGAGACATTAGTAAGTACATTTTGTTAGGCCTGGTTACTGACCGGGCAGCGGGGGCGTTAACCCCCGAAATCCTCTCCAGGTATACAGGTATGCATATATATGTCGTGCCGAATAAGTAAAACTTGCGATTTTGGCTTAAATAGCAACGGTCTTCTTGCCGAATATGGCAAGCGAAAGTTTGTGTATGCAATAATTTCGCAAAAATCATTTTGAACCTAACGAGAAAAATATGTCCCATTGTGTCTGTTTTTATTATAATATTGTAAATTTATCTATAATATATTTAATTAGATTAGGCTAAATTAAATTGCGCTTGTTATAATAAGGTTAGGAAAGTTTTCTAAGGTTCTTTTGGTACGAAATTATTAATTTTTACATTAACATAAATGAAATATATATATATATATATATATATATATATATATATATATATATATATATATATATATATATATATATATATATATTATATATATATATGTATTATTATTTATATATGTGTGTGAGTGTGAGTGTGTGTGTGTGTGTGTGTGTGTGTGTGCGTGTGTGTGTGTACTCACCTAATTGTACTCACCTAATTGTGGTTGCAGGGGTCGAGACTCAGCTCCTGGCCCCGCCTCTTCACTGATCGCAACTGGGTCCTCTCTCTCTCTGCTTCCTGAGCTTTGTCATACCTCTTCTTAAAACTATGTATGGTTCCTGCCTCCACTACTTCACTTGCTAGGCTATTCCACTTGCTGACAACTCTATGACTGAAGAAATACTTCTTAACGTCCCTGTGACTCGTCTGAGTCTTCAGCTTCCAGTTGTGACCCCTTGTCCCTGTGTCCCCTCTCTGGAACATCCTATCTCTGTCCACCTTGTCTATTCCCCGCAGTATCTTGTATGTCGTTATCATGTCTCCCCTGACCCTTCTGTCCTCCAGTGTCGTCAGTCCGATTTCCCTTAACCTTTCCTCGTACGACATTCCCTTGAGCTCTGGGAAGCCTTGTTGCAAACCTTTATACTTTCTCTAACTTCTTGACGTGCTTGACCAGGTGTGGGTTCCAGACTGGTGCTGCATACTCCAGTATGGGCCTAACATACACAGTGTACAGTGTCTTGAACGATTCCTTATTAAGGTATCGGAACGCTATTCTCAGGTTTGCCAGGCGCCCGTATGCTGCAACGGTTATTTGGTTGATGTGTGCCTCCGGTGATGTGCTCGGTGTTATGGTCACCCCAAGGTCTTTCTCCCTGAGTGAGGTCTGTAGTCTTTGTCCACCTAGCCTATACTCTGTCTGCAGTCTTCTTTGCCCCTCCCCAATCTTCATGACTTTGAATTTGGCTGGATTGAATTCGAGAAGCCAGTTACTGGACCACATGTCCAGCCTGTCCAGGTCTCTTTGCAGTCCTGCCTCATCCTCGTCCGATTTAATTCTTCTCATCAACTTCACGTCATCTGCGAACAGGGACACTTCAGAGTCTATTCCTTCCATCATGTCGTTCACATATATCAAAAATAGCACTGGTCCTAGAACTGACCCCTGTGGGACCCCGCTCGTAACAGGCACCCACTGTGATACCTCTTCACGTACCATGACTCGTTGCTGCCTCCCTGTCAGGTATTCCCTTATCCATTGCAGTGCCCTCCCTTTTACATGCGCCTGATCCTCCAGCTTCTGCACTAATCTTTTGTGGGGAACTGTGTCAAAAGTCTTCCTGCAGTCTAGGAAAACGCAATCTACCCACCCCTCTCTCTCGTGTCTTACTTCTGTTACCTTGTCATAAAACTCCAGGAGGTTTGTGATACAAGATTTGCCTTCCATGAACCCATGCTGGTTTTCATTTATAATCTTGTTCCTTTCCAGGTGTTCGACCACTCTCCTCCTGATAATCTTCTCCATGACTTTGCCTCGTTTGCCTCGTTTCTGTTTTCTTTCTGAAATATGGGGACTACATTAGCTGTCTTCCATTTCTCAGGTAGTTGCCCAGTTTCAAGGGATGTGTTGAAGATTGTGGTTAGAGGCACGCACAGCATCTCTGCTCCTTCTCTAAGGACCCATGGGGAGATGTCCGGTCCCATCGCCTTTGAGGTGTCAAGGTCACTTAAGAGCTTCTTCATCTCCTCCTCAGTTGTTGGTATGTCATCCAACACTTGTTGGTATATTCCCTCTTGATGTTCCCTTCTGTGCTGTCTTCCCACAGCCCTTCCTGTCTCTACTGTAAAAACTTCCTTGAAAATCTCCTGTTCAGCTCCTCACATACCTCCTGATCATTTCTTGTGTGTGTGTGTGTGTGTGTGTGTGTGTGTGTGTGTGTGTGTGTGTGTGTGTGTGTGTGTGTGTGTGTGTGTGTGTGTGTATTGTGTGTGTGTGTGTACTCACCTAATTGTGGTTGTAGGGGTCGAGGCAATGCTCCTGGCGCGAGTGTGTGTGTGTGTGTGTGTGTGTGTGTGTGTGTGTGTATGTGTTAGTAGCGGCATTTTCAGTGTCAAGACAGGCGAAACTACGAAACAACTCCTGACTCCAAAGACCTCGTGACAACCACTGCCGCCTACCCTCCCGCACGTCTTGTACTGTGTCAGAGAACGTAAGATGTAGCCGTCTCATCGTAAGGCAGATCATAGCAGAGACGGAGAATGTAGGTGGGTTCTCCATCTCCAGGCGCAACATTCCAGAGACTTTGCACTGCATTTTCGCCCAGACAATGACACTGAAGTGAATTTTATCTGGGAAAGTTTGTGCGACGGTCGCTTCTCCAGGCTGTTGTGCGTATAGCAGTTTTGTTATGATTGAGGGTAGAGCTCGCGACGACCCCTCCGTCCCTCCTCCAGTGATCAATATTGGATAAGTATACTTCTCCCCCAATGTTATATGTACTTTCCTCTCTATCCGTGATAGTGGGAGACGCTGGTAATGGTGAGTGACGCAGGTGATAGTGGGGATACAGGTGATGGGGGGAGACATGGTTGAAGGCGGGGAGGTCGCTGTGGGTGAAGTCTGAGGCTGGGTGTGTGGGACTAGGGTAAGGTGACTCCCCGGGTCACAGTGTCCCGCAGAGCTCCCCTGAGATAATATAATTTCGCGACACATATCTCCAGCATCCCAACCCGCCGACCTCTGGCATTGTCATCCGTCACTTTATCTCACCTCACTAATGACCTCGGCTCCGAGTTTTATGCTTGATGATAAGGGATTACAGACCTATGGCGAACACTCTGTTGAAGAACAGCCCATAGAAGCAAGTTACGAGGTGGTGATGATTCGAGTATAATCGTACACGTGGAATGCACGCCGCCTGCCATAGCCGTGACCTTTTATTACTGAGTGCAGTTGTGGCTGGCACGACTGCTGCTGCTCGTTGCGGCTTTCCGAACCCTCCCAACCAAAATGACCATCGCAAAAACGTAAACCATTTTGCGTCGCCCGTATTCATGGCCACCTTAAAACCCACAGCCTTCTGCCGAGGCTTTGGGGGGGTGGTCACGGGGCTGTGTGAAGGTCACGGTGTTGACCTCACAAGGGCTCTTCACGTCAACTTGACAACTTTATTCCGCTGGCTCGCATATCACGCTAAACTAGCCTCATAGCCACTGAAGAGGGCTTTAAAACCCCTCCTTCCTCCATCTCGGAGATAAGGAATAACTCACACAAGGAAAAGTGTGCATAAGAACGATCTGCCCTCCGCCGGGTATTCAATCTTCATGTTTTTGCTTCTAGTCATGCGATTTGGGGCCTTTGTGTCCGAATGTGCAATATAGGTTTTTGTCAATATAACAAATACAGTGTCTCCACCCTGAGTCCAGGATGGCGCTCAAGACGAACTCAGCTGCCCACAACTTATCACCAGTCCCGCATTAAGTGGGTGTAAAGTGCACCACATATCGTATCAGGCGACGTTGCCGACATTACTATAAGAAATCGCGCTTTATGCCACACAGTTGACTGAAATTAAGCTACAAACTCCATAAATCATAAACAATTAGCAGGATAGTTTTTGTTCTGTCTGAACGCTAATGCTAACACACACAAAAACACATTAAGCATAATGTGGAGCAAAACACATGTAATAATTATGCGATCATATTTCCATTTTCTATTACTGTAATTCAGCTACTAATGAAAAAAATAATATTATTTATGCCTTGACAATGATCACAGTAATTCAAGATTATATACACCGTGTGGTGTGAATCTCTAGGAATATATTATATTGTAAGCCTGCTAACTTTACCTGAAACATTGCTGCCTTTCTATTGTGACTATCAAGGCCCAATGAAACAATATAGGCTTCGTATAGGCATAGTCTCGTGTTCGAATCCCGACCAGATTATAGTGAATTTATTAATAATTGTCTAATGCCATTGTTTTCTAGAGCAATCATACTGACATTGAAGGGGCATGACCCTGATATATAACAAGTACAGCTGGTGGTGGAGAGGGCAGCTATAAAAACTTTCAAGTGACACTGCAAATAATAATAATAATAATATAGACATAAATTAGCTTTAAAATGAGTAAATACCATTCCCAAACACGCTTTTAATACCACACAAGAGAAACAGAAAAGCGTCAAGTTATCCACATTGCTTTACGCAAGGGTAATCGCTGAGACGCACAACCCACACAGTTACCTCAAGAATTAAGAGCAGAGAGTGGAAGACCTGGTTAAGAGTTGCTGAGATAGACGAGCACGACCCGACAAGATGTGTGCGATACCCGCCCTGGCGGGTGTCATGATCAGGGGAGTAGAAGGGGAGAGAAATGGACACCAACCTTAGATATCTCGGCGAGGATTTCTGCCAAGGCGGGCCAACGGAGCAGGGGAGGAGAGAGATGGAGACCAGTCTTAGAGATATCGGTGAGATTTCCAGCCAGGGCGGTCGTCAGGACCAACGCAACAGAGGGGGAGAGAGATGGAAAGTAGCCTTAGATACACCGGTAAGGATACGGAAGTTCGACATTTGATATAAAAAAATGAGTAAATCTGTAGGAATGTTCGGTCTCCGTGGTGCAGGAAAGTCCAGTCTCCGTGACGCGGGAAAGTTCAGTCTCCGTGGCGCAGGTAAGTCCAGTCTCCATGGCGCAGGAAAGTCCTGTCTCCGTGGCGCAGGGAAAAATAAACATTGATCTATTCTCATGTGAGAAAACTATGCTCCTTTTTGATCGTCTGTCGAGATGAAATTAGTAGTAGCATTTAAAGGGCTTGCTAAAGGGCAGGAGTCTTTCGCATCTGTGAAGCTACTGCCACAGTAAAAGTTAAGATACAAGCCCCAGAACAACCTATCTTGCAGATCTGTGGCATGCTTGAGAGAAACATGGTTAGGCTATATGCTTCTACCCACCGACCGACGGATACAAGTCTCCATTGCGCCTCCTTTTGAGATAAGAAATATATCCATCATATTCTCTCCAACATATTAAGATATTTGAACCACGTTACCTCACATCTCCTCAGTGTACCGGGATACACTTAACAGCAAGAATTCTACTGGAGGGTTCACCTGCATCATCTCATACCCATCAGGATTCAACCAACCGAAAAAAATCAATAGTATAAATAAGACATAAATAGAGCGAGACACTGAGATGTTCAAGATTGTCTTTAATGATTCATATGGTTTCTTCCTCTAAATAGGATGGTCACCACAAAACGTAAAGCAAGAAACTGAGCAACACTTGGAGGTGCCATCATGTTAGCCGAGGCTGGGATCTCCTTGGACAATAGATCGATGTTATCGTAAAACAACATGACTGACCCGTGACGCCAAGCGACGCCTGCTGGCGTGTGCATGTAGTTCTAAGGGGTACAGGATCACCCGTTAGTTGTACTCGAGGGCGAAAATTAAGGGAAGTGGAAATCAGTGAGGTGAATTGAACGGGCAGTACGAGTATATGAGAACGCATACGATTACATGAGAATTTATGTATTAATATGAAAATTCATATTAACACATGTGATACGTAATATTAAACCTTATGATCTACACAGATGTTATTTGCTGTTTACTTATTGCTACTTTTAAGCTTTGAAAAGATTAGGGAGATTATCATGCCGTCTTGATACACGTTCGTGAAAGTGAGAAAGAAAGAAAGAGAGAGAGAGAGAGAGAGAGAGAGAGAGAGAGAGAGAGAGAGAGAGAGAGAGAGAGAGAGAGAGAGAGAGAGACAGACAGACAGACAGAGACAGAGAGACAGACACAGACAAAGAGAGGTACTCGGTTCAAAAATTGAATAAATGAATGAAAACTTATCAATAAACCAGTGATAATTACATATTTACTACTACTGTCTGGGAGCTAGAAACTATACTCATGAAATTAATCGAGATTCTAGTGACTTTGGTCATGCGATGACAGTTGCGTTCCGTTTGTTTTTCAAGATATTACTCCTTTAACTTAACTTTTTTTTTTCTAAATTATCAGTGAAAAAACACAGGAAGTTGCAGGTGAAAAAAAAAATGAATAATAGACATTTTTTTCTAATTTCCTACACTTTATGGTGTCATTTTGAACAGTATTTGGTCCAGAAAGTCGTGTTGTCTGAAGGAAATAAATATCTCCTTAGTATTCTAAAATTGTAAAAAAAATATATATATAAATTAAAAAAAATAATATAAGTAATAAAATATATGGTGGGATGAAAAAAACATATGATAGAAAAATAAGGTGACTAATAAAAATAATAACTTATTCCGGTTATTATTTTATGAAACATTGATAAAAATAAGTTCATGAACAAAGTTGTTGAAAAATTTATAAATATAAGAATGAACAGAGAGAAGTGAAGAATACTGAATGTAGAAATTAAGTCGATTATGTGGAGGTATGGCGAAGAAGAACCAGTAACTTCATCAGGGACCCCTCAAGGCAGGTTCCTTGATGTTGGTGAGGGGCTCTTGATTTAGGGAATTGGATCTGTGCTCCAGTTCCCCAAATTAAGCCTGAATGCCTTCCACATCCCCCCCCAAGGCGCTGTATAATCCTCCAGGTTTAGCGCTTCCCCCTTGATGATAATAATAATAATCCATCAGGGAAATAGTAACTTAAGAGAAAACTAGTTCAAGCAGGACAAAAGACGAGAATAAGTTGCAAACGAGAGGGAAAGAGAACAGAAAAGAGAGAAGAGGAGTGGCCAGGAACAAGTAAGCAGCCTTCCTGGGTCCCCTATGTTGGATGGATGTCCTGTCTCTTGAAATGAACCATTACAGAGCTATATTATGCTGTAACAACTACGATGGGTACTCACTCGTTGGGGTTACTGTTGTTATACTTGGCTGCGAGAGATCTCATAAGATCAGAGCAGTTTCTGTTCATAAGGGATTCCATCTGTTTGATGGCTCCAGGGCCACCCGGAAGCCCGCCCACCCCGCCCAGAGACGCGGGGCTAAAACGGTCGTAGGCGGAGGGTATAGCAGCGGGCGGCGTGAAGGCGGGGTTGGGTGGCGTGCCGGGGAAGGAGGGCGTGCGGGTGCGGTGAGACGCAGGGGACTTAGGGGAGACTGAAGGACTGGGCGTGGCGTGGGTAGCAGCTGGGGCGTCGCTCCCGGGGTCTGGTGATAACCTCTCAGACTTGACGTCGTTTGAGGAATCTGAGGGCATTTTGTCCTCAGTGCGGGCACCGTTGGGCACCTCCCGCCGCACTTTCTTGCGGCCTTTGGCGCCGTACGCTGCGGCAGCCGCGGCGTTAGCGGCAGCGACCGCAGCGTGTTCTTTGTCTTTGGTGAGGGGCGTGTTGTTGTTGTTGAGCGCCAGGTCCTGCGCTGTCTCACTCTCCGCCTGGTTACCTGCAACAAGAACAACTACAATCAGAAAGTTTTATATGCAACGAGAATATCACAGATCAGTACCCCTAGCTAGGGTCCTGGCACCCTCACTGTTTCTCATCCTCAAAACAGACAAAAACACACTAAACAGATTCTTTTCATCATTTGCGGAAGATACGAAAATAAACACGTAAGTCACTTCGGTAAAAGACACAGAAAAATTGCAAGAGGATAGGTCAGTACCTGTAAAAGTTACCTGTAACGAAATCATCTCAATTCAGTATCTGTATGATTCAGTTGTACCATAAATATTTCAGGTCATTTAATACCTGTATGAGTTTTCTGCAACGAGAATTTCTCAGGTCAGTCAGAACCTGTACAAGTTACCTGTAACAAGATTCAACAAGGGTTACCTGGTCAAGGACGGGCTTTAAAGTACCCTGTTTTTGTCTTCTTGTACAAAAATACTGTGGGAAATAATTATAGCATTAGCCCCGAGGCAGGTCCTGGCCTGTGGCAGGAGGGTTGGGGTTGCAGACACGCGCCACCCACGCCCTCTACCTGGCCATCAGCACGCGCGCACACGCTCTCCACTACACGCCTTCAAAGAAACTGCCTCTCTAAAACTTACATCATGTAAAAAATACAGGTAAAAGATGGCAGCATCGGGAGTTGGGGCATGCCGCAAGGTGATGCCCTGACCCCTGCCATGTACTGACATGTCCTCGCCTCAGGGACACACATTACCTGGGTGTGGGGTACGGCCTGCCCTCTGCCCCATGGCGGGGATCTCGTGCAGGCGCCCCGACCAGAGGATCAAAGGTGCAATTTGGTGCGAAGGACGAGGGGTTGGGGCGGGTGTGCAGCCAGGCTGCTGCTGCTGCAACAAGGGATTAAATTATCCAGTAGCAACGAGCATGGCACAGGCGTCCCTCCCTGACTTGTGATGGTGGATGACGCGGTTCGGCTTGGGTGGCATCAGCCAGCCATAATCTCCAGCTGGACCAGCCTCAGGGGTCTCCGTCCCCGGGCCCTGGGCCCCTAAGCCCCATGTACCCTTGACCCCATCCTCGCCCGCTGACCCGCCACCGCCCTGACCACTTTTTCTGCCAGGCTTCCCGCCTCTGTCACCGCAGGCTCAGCTTGCGATATAAAATGTAATTTTAAATATTTTTAGTTGGAGTGCTACTAGAAATCGCTGATTTGCGTTCTTATAAGCAGCCTTCAAAAACGAGAAGTGAATTGTGGAATTTTTATTAAACTAATATAGAAGTTGGTAACTTGATGACGTCAGTTTTGTTACAGCCAATCACAAGGCAGAGTCAACCCTAAAGGAAAGCCTCTTGCTGCTCATTGGTTAAGACCTTGCTCTTGCAGTCACCACATAATTAAACCAGTTTTACTTAAGTAAAACAAATTCTAAATAGCAGACTGTGCGTGTATCGAGAAAATATTTTGTTTCGATGATGACCGTACTGAAAGTGTAAATATTGTGAAACCTGCAATGCAGAACTATTAGCAAAACTCGTACACCTGGCAGGACGGTGGCAGCGTTGCAGCCAGAGAAGAAATGTTGAAAGATCATTGTGAGCGCGGCCGCCGTGGTGGAAGCACTTATGTCCTACTCGACGCTACTCTCGGCACCTTTACTAGACTCGTCTCATCGATAACATCTCTTCATGACCCATTCAGGCTTTTTAATAATATCATAAATATATTTGACAACAACGCTATTAAAAAACGACCTGCCTAGATACTAGAAATTAAGAACCACTCAAAAAACTCAAGGTTGTCTGTAGTAGCTTACGAGTTCACTGCCTCCGTGGCACTGTCTCAGACTAGGCGCCCTGGATGCTGGCTTGATCGATCAAGCTGTTGGTGCACACTGCCAGTAGTCCAACATATACACCACAACCCAGCTGATCACGAACTGACTTAATGAATGTATTGAGTTCCTTCTTGAAGACAGCTGGGAGTTGGTAATTCGTCTCGAGGACGGAGCAAGGGTGTTAAAGAGTCTTGGTAACTTTATATTTAGTGAGTTTTCTCTTAATGTACTCATCGCTTCCCTCATTCTTGCAACGTCTGACAAGCCTCTTGTTTCCATATGGAGTGATTCATTCAGTTGCACTCGTATATTGCATCTTTCTCTACTATTTTTTTTTAAGGAGGGACTTCAAGTTGAACAAGTTCGCCTTCCTTGAAAGGAGCTGTTAGCACACAGCAATATTCCACCCAAGTAGGACGAGTGATCTAAAGAGTATGATCACTGGTTTGGCCTCTCTTGCTCTAAAAGTTCTAGTTATCCTCCCTATCATTATCCTCGCGGATGTAACGACATTGTGCTCCTTGAATGTGAGATCTAATATTATCACTCGCAAGTCTATTACACTAGGCTTATACTCTATTGACTGATTTGAATTCGTCTTGCACTCCGAACCTCGTTTTTGTTTCATTATTATTATTATTATTATTATTATTATTATTATTATTATTATATAACTTGGGAAAGGATAAATCAGCTAGGTCCACTCAGAGCTTGGGAACAGGAAACAATAAGTTTCCCTTCAAGACATGGGAGGACAGATCTAATTCCTTGGATCAGAAACCCATCACCAGTACTAAGGGGTGAAGCAAAATATGTTAGAGGCACAAGCTTTGACACCATTACTGAGGAACCTTTATCTGGTCCCCAGACCCTCTCAAGGGAGGTTCCTTTATGCTGGTGAGGGGCTCTTGATCTAGGGGATTGGCTCTGTGCTCCAGTTCCCTGAATTGAGCCTGAATGCCTTCCACCCCTCCATACGCTGTATAATCCTCTGGGTTTAGCGCTCCCCCATGATTATAATAATAATCATAATGGACCCCAGACCAGTAGCATGAAGACAATCACTGAAGGACCATCACCTGGACTCCAGACCACTAGCATGAAGACCATCACTGAAGGACCATCACCTGGACCCCAGACCACTAGCATAGACACCATCACTGAAGGACCATCACCTGGACTCCAGACCACTAGCATGAAGACCATCACTGAAGGACCATCACCTGGACCCCAGACCACTAGCATAGACACCATCACTGAAGGACCTTCACCTGGACCCCAGACCACTAGCATAGACACCATCACCGAAGGACCATCACCTGGACCCCAGACCACTAGCATAGACACCATCACTGAAGGACCATCACCTGGACCCCAGACCACTAGCATAGACACCATCACTGAAGGACCATCACCTGGACCCCAGACCACTAGCATAGACACCATCACTGAAGGACCATCACCTGGACCCCAGACCACTAGCATAGACACCATCACCGAAGGACCATCACCTGGACCCCAGACCACTAGCATAGACACCATTACTGAAGGACCATCACCTGGACCCCAGACCACTAGCATAGACACCATCACTGAAGGACCATCACCTGGACCTCAGACCACTAGCATAGACACCATCACTGAAGGACCTTCACCTGGACCCCAGACCACTAGCATAGACACCATCACTGAAGGACCATCACCTGGACCCCAGACCACTAGCATAGACACCATCACTGAAGGACCTTCACCTGGACCCCAGACCACTAGCATAGACACCATCACTGAAGGACCATCACCTGGACCCCAGACCACTAGCATAGACACCATCACTGAAGGACCTTCACCTGGACCTCGGACCACTAGCCAGGAGACCATCACTGAGGAACCTTCACCTGGACCCCGGACCACTCACCCCTGATCTCTAGGCCACCTAATTACACCCTCCGAATTATGGGTGTTATCGGGTTGTATCGGAATGCAGGTGGGCGTGGTTGCTGCGGGCGGCACCTGTGGGTGTGGGTGGGCCAGGTCACCGCCGCCCACTTAACCCACCCACGGGGGAGGATAAATTGCGGTGTGTGGAGAGCGCTATGCGGGCAGCGGCAGCGGCGGGAGCGGCGGCGGCGGCTGCGGTGGTGGTGGCTGGGGCAGCAGTAGCAATCGTCCAGCAGTTTAATAACTGCCAAATAAAATAGTATATCAGTGGGGAAGTGTTAAACCCATAAGAATTATATAGCGTTTGGGGAATGGGTGGTGTTCAGATTTGACCTAAGGAAGGGGAGGGTAGCTCCACTTTCTTAGATCAAGAGCCCTTCAACAACAAGGCGCAGCTAGACGAGACCATCAGAAAAAAGCTGTGTTCATTCCCCTCCCCATCGAGGCTGGTGACTTGATGTAGGGAAGCGAACCTTTCGTCCTCAGCATTGGATCGAACTTCATTTTCTCCTGTTTCCCAGACTCTGTGTGTCCCCCTTCTCCATTATGTGCTAATTAGAAGGTTACACACACACACACACACACACACACACACACACACACACACACATATATATATATATATATATATATAATATATATATTATATATATTATATATATATCTCCGAGGAAAGATTGCAAGACATGAGGAGGTTAATAACATTATCAAGAGGAGCCTCACAACAGCTGGATGCCCAGCAGTAAGGGAGCCACCCCAACTATGCAGATCTGATGGCAGCCAGAAGCGTCCAGATGGTATCACCCTTCAAGCCTGGACAGATGGGAAGCAGGTGGTGTGGGACTATACATGTGCATCTACCTTGGCTGATACCTATCTCCAATACACCAGGGAGGAAGGAGGGGCAGCTGCCAGCTTCAGGGAGTCCCGAGAGTCTAGAAAATATGGAGAACTTGCCCATCATTATATGTTTGTTCCCATAGGCTCAGAGACCCTTGGCTCATGGGGAAAGAGTGCATCTAAATTCCTTAAGGAGCTGGGAAAAAGACTCATCAGGGTAACTAGGGATCCCAGGGCAGCTAGTTTTCTGTTCCAGCGGCTCAGTGCGGCTGTTCAAAGGGGTAATGCCTGCTGTATTTTGGGCACACGCCCCAGCTCTGAGGAGCTGGATGAGATTTTCGCCTTATAATCGGTGATACACACGTAACAACATGTACCGTATGTGCCACCTTTATATCAATAGTGTATCTCTTGG